ATCTTATTAAAAATCTATTAAATGATTATATTTTTATATTTTTGAGGCCAATAAATAGTAAAATATATAAGTTTAAAAATTTAACTTTTTTTCATAATAATTTAATCTTTAAAATATCACTAATAATTACATTTTTTTTTGAATTTTTACTTAGAAGACATCATAGAATTTATTATAAAAATATTTAAAATTATTATAAATAATTTTAATTATTAAATAAAATTGTAGGCAAATTTTCTATAGAATATTTGAAGGAATAATATAAATTATTTTAAAAATATTAATAAATATAATACAAGTTTATCTTTAGACTTATATTTTAAGTCTTTGATATCAATTAATATTATAGCTTTCTAATAATATTATATTTTAAGAACTTTAAATTATTATCTTCTTTTAAACTAATTAAAAAAATCTTTATATACTGATTTATAATTTATTTTAGCTGATAAAATTATAATTAATTAGATTATATTATTGATACTTTTTTCTAAACTTAATAATTTATAAATTTTTATATAGTTTTAGAAAATTTTTACAATTATAATAATATTTTTATTAATTAAGATTTTAGTTTTCTATTAAAATATTCTTTTTACATTCTTAATAAAAGATCATTATTTATCAAATGATTTCTGATATTTTTAAAATAATTTTTATTAATATTTAATATTTTAAGGTAAGATACTTATTAATACTTATTGAACCAACATTTATTACTTTAAATTAAACTATTATAAATATGTTTTATTTAGATTTAAAAAAAAAAACTTGAAAAAAATTTTTTAATTTTACAAATTCTTCTTTAAAAATTTTTAAAAAAATAATTACAATTATTATTTTTTTAAAAAAATGAATTGTTTTTTCATATATAGTAAAAATATTATATAAATTATTTTTTATTAATACTTTTTATTAAAGATAACACTATAATTAGTTACAATCATATAATACTTATTTGTTAATAATTGTAACTAATTGCAACTCAATTTTTATTAATATTGTAGCTAGTTACAATTCTGTAATACTTATTTATTATTAGTTACAACTAGTTGTAATAACATCTTTACTTTTTATATAATAATAATCCTACATATTTTTTTTTATATTTACTTTGTAAATTATTTTAAAATTATTACATTACCATTAGTGCTTTCCTTTTAAATATTCCTACTATAAATACCTAGGTATTTTACTAGATATAAAATTTATTACTTATTTAAAATTCAAATATAATTTAATTTTAATTATAAGTAATTTATAAAAGATTCAGATATTTATATTAAAATAATATAAAATTTTTATTAATTATTTATTACTTTGTAATGAAATAGATCATGTGACATTATATAAATATTTAAAAAAAAAATTTGTGTGATTAATTTTGAAACTCAAAATCAAATTTTACTAGAAGATAAAATTTCCTTTATTAAAATTTGTATAATAAAATACATTTAATCAATTTATTTATACAGGTAATCTAAGCATTACCATTACATATATTTTTTATTATTATATAAGATAAATGCTATATAATTAATAATTTTACTAAGTATTCTAATTTTAAATTATATTACATCTTCATTTCTTTATAATAATCATTTATTTTTACTAATATTATTTTCTAATTTATTTTTACTATAATTATTATCTGATTTATTTAACTATTATTCTACTTATCATTTTTTTTAAATTCTTCTTTCTTAATTAATTATATCTTCTACTTTGTTAAATCAAAATTAAAATATTATCTATTTTATTAATTATATTTAAAACATCACAATATTTAAATGAATAATTGGTTATATTAAAATTAATAATATTCTAACTTTCTTTTATCCAATTAGTAACAAATAAATAAGATAGTCTTTTAATTTTTTTTAGATAGTATATATTTTTTAATCATCTAATTATTATAATATTATTACATCTATTTTTATTAAAATATTAATATTAATTTATTTTAATAATAATAATAATAAATACCTTGATCTTAAAAGATATATTTAATGATATATTAAGTAATTATAAATAAAAAGTTAATCTACTTAGAATAATAAAATTAGTATTTTTTTTTTTTTTTATAAAATTAATCTTATATAGTATTAATTCTATGTACAATAAAAAAATCCAATATTAAAAGAGATTTTAGATTATTACTCTATTTTATATGTTATATCTAAACATTTCTATTTACTAACTTATAGTATTTTATTTCATTTATCTAATCTTAAAAATTAGCATAAACAATTATTTTATCAAGAAATTCATCTCAAGAAATATTTATAAGTTTAAAAATAATTACAGATAATAACTTGATTCTATTGATCATATAATTTATGATAATAGTAAAATTTGAACACTCATATTTAGTTGATAAAATTAAAATAATTTTAATATTATATTATTTTTTTTTTTTTTTAATTTTAACGTATGGTAGCTTTGCACAAACTTTATTAAAGAGTAAAGTAAAGTCTTACAATATTACAAATTATAAGATAGAGAGTACAAAAATTTCTATTTAACATTAAAGCCAAATCAAAATCAACCTTGCACCGTTTCAGACTAACCTACCTAAATAAATTTAGAATAGGATCAACCATCCAGTACAGGGGCGTGGTTGCTACTGATCTAAAAATTCAACCAGTTTGTACCAAATCTAAAGGAGGAGATAAAGTAAGAAGGAATATTAAAATTATGTGGTGATGATGAGGGAAAGCCGATGTTGGTGAAATGCAATTTTCGATCATTAAGTGAGATGTTGTTGAGGTTCTCAAAATTTTTGATATCATTGCATTGATCAATCCAGATGGATTTTATTTGGAAGAATGCATGGTGATAAGTAGAAGATAAGAGACTGTTTGTTAATTGGAGGTTATTAATAAGGCAGTGTATTTTGTTGAATAATGAAAAAGGTATGATTCCTTTGATCAAGTCAATAAAGTTAAAAGAGTCAGGTCGATCATTTAAGGACCAGATAGTCAAATCTAAGAGATCCGTAAGATCTTGAGTGTCTGAAGTCAAGGCGATGAGATGTTATATGAAGAAACTTTTGGTTGAGAAAAAAATTAATAAATTTATAAAAGTAAATATTTTAAAAATAAATTTATAAGATTTAAATACTATAGATTTTAAAAAGCAATTTTAATAATAAATTATAAAAAACAAATTATTATAATTTTTGATTTAAAAAAATAATTTTAAATTATATTAAAAAAAATGAAAAATAAATAAATATATATATAAATAATTTTAATTGGATTTAAAATCTTTTATAAGTAATAAAAAAAAATTATAAATATTATTAATAAGATAATATAATACAATTTAATATAAGTTTATAATTAAAAAAAAAGTATAAATTAAAATTTTTATAAAAAAATAAAATCTTATATTATTAATGAATTAATTCATTATTTATTTAAATTTTTATTATAAAATTTTAATCTATATTAATTAATTTAAATATATAGTAATTAAAATAGATTTAATTTTTAATTGTATATTTTATAAATAATTTTTTTATAAATAAAATTTTTTTAAATAAAATAATTTATATAATTAATTTTAATTATCTTTTTATTACTAGGATTATAAAATCACATAATATATGCTTAAACTAAATAAATGAAGAATAGTGCTAAAAAATATATTAATAATTAGTGATACAATATATATAATATATTATCCTATCATAAATTATCAGATTTTATAAAAAATACTTAGTAATATATAATAAAATTAACATTTTTTAAACTATATAAAAGTTAATAAAATATAATAAATTTTTTTATTAAAAGTAAATCAATTTTTAAAAATATAATCAAAATAAAAATATTGTTAAAATGATATATTAATTTCATATGAAAAATTAAAAAAATATATAAAAAGTTATTACTTATACTTTTACAATTAGAAATTTTTTTGTATTTTATTTTATTTATTTTTGATTTTTATAAATTATAATGATTAGCCTTCAAATAAAAAAATTTTAATTAAATTTATAACTTTAATACAATTTGAAAATTATATTATTTTACTAAAAGATTTATGAATACTGAATTATGAACAATAATATTAAAATAGTTAAATTTATTTCTTAATATATATAAATTTGCAAATATCGCTTCATTTGTATAGATAATATCGTTTTCATTAAAAATATACAAAAAAAAATAGAAAAGCGTTTTAAAGTTTAATATTACGCAATTTGTACACGTTGTATATAATTTCACGTGACTGTACTTCACTAATTTCTGTATCACTACAACGCCAAATAATAAACGTCACTTATGACGATCGTCAATCCCATAATTTTAATTTCTAATATAAATATGTGAGCAAAACCCGTTCTAAATCCCTCATAATTTCTCACGAGATACTTGCAGAACGTATAAACCTTTCGCCTTTTACTAAAGGTTTCCGTGTGGGTGTCTCATTGCAGTGAGATTAAGAATTTTTTGAATTTCCTTTTAAGGAAATTTTTTTATAATTTCTAGCGGGTTAGGTGTGTAAAAAAGTAAATAAAATTAAAGGGGGATAATATTTCTGGTTACGATTTTTTTCGGTATCATGGTTAATGAAACGATAAAACAAATAAAAAAGGCAAATTCAATCCAGTTTTTATCAGCTATCAAGTTCTAGTCAAGGCCTATTAATTCATTATTATTGAATCCGAAAGTAGTATAATATTTTGTTTATTCCTTTTTAAACTTCCAACCTTCAAGAAAAGTTCTTTGTAAAAAAATATGAAACCCCATGTTATTTTTAAATAAATAATTTTCTCATATGATGATTTCTTAAAATCTCGTGATAAGAACAAATAAAAAAAAAACGGAAAATATATTTCCCAATTGTAATTTAATTTTTATTCGAAAAAATTGTTAAATCAAATTCATACATAGGAAAAACCAAAAAATTATGATTTTAATAAAATCGAGAGTAAAATATTCAAATATATTTGAAAAATACATATATACGTTTGACAAGGAAAAAAATTTTTATCTTATAAATTATTATTTATTTTCGGCTTCTTTCTTTGCAGCTTCGATTTCTATAATTGGAATGGAATGGAATTTAATTTAATTTTTTTAATAAATATAAATCCGCAGTAAATAATAAAGAATAACTTGCCTGCAGCAGTAGGTAATGTATTTTTTTCATTGGTTTCTACATGTTTAAGATTTTCCTTAACCTTTGCGGCTTTTTCTTCAATCTCTTTAGCGATAGGAGAAAGAGGAGTAGGTTCTTTATCGGTCATAATTACTAATAAAATAACTACAAATAAATTTTTTCATATCATATTTAATTGGAGTCACACAAAATTGTAAGTAAAAAAAAAAACGGTTTTTTACCTTTTGATAATAAACCGAAAAAAATAAAAAAAACGACGTCAAAATATTTTTCAAAAGAATAAAAAAAAAAGGGAAAGCCGGTCAGAGTTTTTTTTTCTAGTTGAGGCTGTGTAAAACCTTTTTAAAAAATATCATGTGTAACAATTACTTCATAATATGTAGGGAGTCATGAATTTTTATTATTGTATACGTTTCACAACATTGTAATCTCCACAATACTGTGCCACGTAATTATATTCGCATGGAAAGAATGTGTTGTGGATGGATACCACGCATAATTCATTCTTGTTAAGAATATTAAGGATCATTATGCATATTTTTTAGCCCTCCAACTCAAAATATTCAAATTTGCTATATATGCCATTTCATTTACTTGACGTATTAATTAAAAATAATTTAATGATTATTTACCTTTAATGCTATACTGCGAACTTGTAAAATGTGATTAATTTGGGATGTTTATCTTCAAGTACTTCAACAGTTGTTTTTGTATTTTATTATATAAAGCATTTAAATAAAAAAAAATAATAACTACCGGATTCTTTAAACCGAATGCTAGTAAAATGCCTTTCTAAAAATTTCATATTCTCGACTGCTCTCAGATATAAACTAGAAAATGCACAGAGTATCAAAGTCCTTTTAAACTTTACCTTGTAGTTGCTTTCTTTAACTTGTATCATTAAAGCTACAAATTTAGTAAAAGTATTATCTCCATTAAATGCTTTGCTTAAACACAATTGAGCTAATTTAGCCTAAAATTCTGCATCATCTTCATTACTTATAGTAGCCCAAATTTGCCGTAAATTTGTATCTTAAAGAAGTTTTAATAATGGTAATGATGAGGAGTAAATTTAACAATACTACTTATTGCCCATTCCTTAAATAAATATTTATTTTTTAAATATTAAAATATTTGTAAAAATAAATTCAAAGATAATATTTATATTAAAACTCTCAGTTTCGAGTAATTCATTTAAATGTTTATTAGATTTTAATTCTTCACTTGTTACATATAGCATTTTTATTATCTTTTTTTCACATTGTATATGATATCCTTCTAAATCTTTTTTATCTAAATGCCTAGATTCTAATACCTTTTCAAATTCTTCTCTTTCTTTTTTATTAAGTTTTTTTTTTTAGTAAAAGAAATATTTTCTGGAAATTTTTCTGAAAAAATTTGTTTTACTATAATTTCAGATCATTTGCTATCACTAAAACTAACAGAACTATTTAATATAAAAGTACATAATTTTCTATTTCTTCATTTTTTCTTCATTATTATCATTTTTCTCTGATTTGCTTTTTGAAAAAAAAAGCATTTATACTTGGTTGTTTATCTGTATAATATATATAATTATTATTTTATGATTATCTTTAAAATAGAAATTTGATAAAATTTATCAAGTAAAATAATTTTACTATATTTATAAAATTTTGTTTAATATTAATAAATTTTTAAAAGTTAGAAAAAAAGGTAGAAGAAAATTATAAGATTTTTTTTTTTTTAAAAAAAAGATTATCAAAAATTTTTTACAAAATATATTCAAATTATATAAGTACTTATTAATAGAAAGGGAGAAAATCTAAAATTTAACTCAAAAATTTTTTATTAATAAAATAATCACAAGTAATAATATTAATTCAATTAAATAATATTATATATTAATAAAATATTAAAATATCATTAATTGATTGATTAGTTATTATATTAATTAATATATTAAAGTTTGTTTAATCTGATTTAAAGAAAAAATATAAAATCTATTTTTAATTTTTCTTTTTATTGATAGATTTTTTTAAATGTATTAAAAAAATGAAACTATTATTTTAATAGAATTTATTTTAAAAGCTTTCTTTTTTAATTATGAATATTATTAGTAAAATAAGAAGTTTTAGTTTTAAAATAACTAAAAAAATTTTTAGAAATAATAAAAATCTATATTATTATATCATAAAATCTAAATATTCTAAATGTAAAGTTTAGAAATATTTAATATTACTTGAGAAATCAGATAAGTTTTTAAGATTAAGCAGATATTTAAGTGAAGTTTAAAACTATTTAAGAATAAAGCAACTATAGCTAACAACTATAATAAATAATAATAACATCTTTATAAAAATTATTAATATAAGATTAAGATTAAACATTACATTATTAATAATAATATTCTTAAACTAAATAAAATTAATAAACATATAAATAAAATTATATATAATAAATATTTATCAAAATAAGTTTTATTCTAAATTATATTTATATTTATTATATAAATCTGATTAATTTTATATTAATTTAACAGGAAAATAAATATATTTAAAATGATTTTGTGATTTTAGTCAGAATATATAATATAATTTAATAAGTAATATTTAATATAATATATATGATTAGAAGTAATAATTATTAACCTGACGTTAATATAATTTTAAATACTATATAAATAAAAAATCTTAAAATAATATATCACATGATTATATAATAAAAAGAAAATATTATAAAAAAATTACAATATTAAGAAATTAAAAAAAACTTATAGAATAGAAAGTCATAATAAATAAATAATTAATTAAAATTACATGTTATAAGATAAAAATCACATGATATAAAACAAAAACAAATTATATAATAAATATTACAAATATATCATAAAATATAGATAAATTATAAGATATAGAAGAATAAATTACTAAATTACAAAGAAAAATATAATAAAAAACTTTTGAAATAAAAGAAAAAAAATAGACAGAATTCTAATATCTCTTGTATAATTTAGATTTTTTTTAATGATATAGTACTATCATAAATTTATTAAACATATTATAAAAATTACAAATAATAAAATAAAAGTAAAAATAATAAAAATAAACTATGATTATCTTTTGTGACTATATTATAAACCCATTTAAATTAACCAATCACTGGAATTTTCTTTAAGAAATTATTAAATCAATAAATAATGTATAATATAGATTAAAATTTGTATAGAGTTTATATATAAATTTCAACTAGAATTATATATTACAGAATTTCAAAATTTGTTATTCTACATATATTAGTTTTTAAATTAATCAGTAATTGAATTTAATAATCTTAAATTTATTAGAATTATTTTAATAAGAGAAATCTAATAATAATAAATCATATTTTTAGTATTAATATTAATATAAAAAATGCATTTTATTATATATCATTTATAAGTTAAATAAGAAATATTCAGGATTCTTTATAAATATGTATAAAAGTTATATAAAAGCTTAAATAAAAGAAACTAATAAAATAAAATCATAGAATACTTATGTAACTTATATTACTAAAAGAAAATAATAAAAATAATAAAAAAGGAATATAAATTTATATAAAGACATAATAAAAATAAATATAATATAATAATAATATATAATAATATACATAATAATAATATACAATAATGATATAATTAAAAATATAATATGAAATAATAAAAAAAATATAAATATCAAAGAAAAATTAAGAATAGAATTATAAAATATTAAAAAAAGAATAGGAAATATTATGGAAAATTCAAAAAATAAATAGATATTTAAAAATAGATATAATATAATAATAAGAAATAGAATGAAAAATTAAAAATAAAAATAGAAATTAAAATATGAATTAGAAATAAAAATAAAAATAAAAAATAAGAATAAAAAATATAAACAAAGGTTTAAGAATTAGAAAAAACTTACAAAATTATTTAACATTAATTTATTTTAAATATGAATATGGTGCAAATGGTCTAAAACCACCACTTTTAATCATATGACTTCAAAATAATAGAAATAATCAGCTAATAAACTATTTTAAATAAACTCTCTGTTAAATGATAGATTGTATCATTATTTTTCATATGACAAAATCATTTTCTTATTAAATAATTGTTAACATTGAATATATAAAATTAAAAAATCAGGGTATTTATTAAATATGATAAAAATTTGGCCATCATAAACTGACCGGAATCACAGAAATTACCTAATTAGAATCAAAAAATCTAAATCCAAAAATCTGTAAATCACCCTTAATTTTAATTCTTAAAATAGAACATTATTATAAAATAGATGTGGCAGTATCCAGTATCTAAATGCCCTCTTCCATTTTTCTTAATTTTTTTAATTCTTTAGAATTAGCTATATTAAGAATAGAAAGATATATATATGAATTAGTTTGAAAAACCCGCATCTTTAAAAAAAATGAAGACTCAAACTTTTTTTTTACAGTGAAAGAAGAATTTTTACAGTAAAAAAAAGAATCCTTTTTTTAAAAATTAAAAATCTGAATCTCTTAAAAAATGAACCTAAATCTTCTTTTAAAAAATGAAAACTTGAATTTTCTTTTAAAAATGAAAACATAGGTCAAATCTTTTTTTTTAAAAAAAAAAAAAACCCCCCTGAATCTTCCTTTTTTTTCAAAAAAAACCCCGAATCTTTCTTTTTTTCAAAATAAAATCCTTTTCAAATCTTTTTTTTTTTTTAAAAAAAAAAGCCTGAATTTATTTCTTTTAAAAAAAAGCCCAAATTTCTTTTTTTTTATTTTCTGACTTTAAGCAAATAAGTTTAGTGAAACTTTTATGATTCATAGTAGGAGTTGGTTCAGTTGTTTTACTAGAAACAAGAAAAGATAGAGAGTAAACAGCTGATTATTTCTTGATAAAGTTGGTGTGAAATTTTTTTTTTGTTAAAAAATTTTTTCAAGGTGTTAATCAAAAAGGCTATATACGAAATGCCTCTAAAATCTCATAATGTTCAACTTGCAGCTACACGAGAAAGTAAATGATTAAAAAATTACAAGTTGTTTCATCAAGTACAATTAGGAAGATGATGAACTATCAAGTGATGAATTATCTGATAATTTTGAAAAAGATGGTATTTGGAATAATGATAGTTTGAAAGAAACTGTAGATAAAATTTCATTATCTGTATTTGATATTATGTATCAAAATGCAAAAAACCCTACTATTTTTAATAGTACATATCTATTAACTTATCATGGAAATTCTGATAGAACTCAAAGACGAAAAAAAGCAACTGCAAAAATAGCAAGTGAGGAATCTACTAATATTACCAAATATTTCATTAATGATTTGACTTCCACTTCATTATTAAATAATCAGATTAACACTACAGTTGATGATTTAATAAACCTTGATAAAATTATAGAAAAAGAAGGGTTTAATTTAGCATTGGAGGAATTAAATACATTAATTAAAGACAAATCATTACTTTCTCAAGTTAAAAATTGGTTGCAACTTATTCTTCAATACATTAACTTGAGATTAGCTAGATACAAATGTATGAAAGCAAGTCAAACAATTGCAATTAGTATTAGAAAAGGCAAATATCAAGCGTGTTTAATTAGGACATAGACACAAAATTTTGTGATATATCGTTCAATCACAACATCAATGTGTAGTAAACATCAAAAATTAAAAGTTTATTAGGCGATAAAGATATTTATCAAATGATTACTGAATACCTTTAGAGTATTGGATGTAATGTAACTGTAGATAAATTTAAGGAATATATTAAACAGGAAGTTTTTCCAAGTGTTGGAATTGAGAATAAAAAATCAATTTCAAATACTACTGTTCGTACATGGCTAAAACATTTTGGTTGGACATTTCGCATAGAAGCAAAAGATATTTATTATGATGGGCATGAATGACCTGATGTATTTAAATATTGACAAGAGTTTTTAGTAGAAATGGCACAATTGGAGCAATGGATACCAAAACCTTCTAATGATGATATTATGATACTGATAGAGCCTAATTTGAATGAAGGTGATAAGAGACATATTCTGGTAACTCATGATGAATCAGTATTTTATGCTAATGATGGTAAAAAAACCTTTTGGAAACCTATGAGACATCAGCCTTTTCGTAAAAAAAGGACAGGTTTAAGTTTACATGTCAGTAATTTTTTAACAGAAGTTGATGGTTGATTAAAGTTTGAACAAGATAAAGCATGTGTTATAATGAAACCAGGTGTTAATAGTGATGGTTAGTGGAAAACTGAAGATTTAGTTATACAGGTAATATTTCATTTTTATTATTTTAATTGATTTATTTTAAAATTATTAATTAAATTATTTTATTAGATTACTGAAAAAGCAATTCTAATCTTTAAAAGGTTACATCCTAGTGAAGTTGGTGTATTTGTATTTGATAATGTAATATCCCATGCTACATATTTGGAAGATACTTTAATTGCATCAAAAATGAATCTTAAACTAGGTGGTAAGGGTAAATTTAAAGATGGATTAATGTCTGATAGTTCAATACAGTTAATGCATCTTTCAGATGGATGGTCAAAAGAAATTCGTTTAATTTTAGAAGAACATGGATTATGGCTAGAAGGTGGTTTAAATCGTATTTACTCTGAATGCAAAAATTATTCTCCAACTACAGATAATTGTTGTGCAGTTCAGTTACTCTCACTTCAACTTGATTTTTTAGCACAAAGGCCATTAATTAGAGAGGTTATTGAAGATAGAAGGCATAAGATCATTTTTTATCTGAAATTTCACTATGAACTTAATTTTATCGAAATGTTTTGAGATGCTGCTAAACGTTATACTCGTAATAACTGTGATTATTCTTTCAAAGGATTGGAAAAACAGTTTCTGAAGCATTGAATTCAATTTCTTTGAAAATAATCAGATGTTATGCATGTAAAGCTTGGAGGTTTATGAATGTATATAGAAAAGAATTAACAGGTATAGAAATATTATATGCTGTAAAAAAATATAGATCACATCAGCGAATTTCTGATAATATAATAAACGTATAATAAAACTAAGCAAGTCACATGATTATAAATACTTGTTAACCAATAAAATTTATTTCACGTGATATGATTATAATGCTAAAATATTTGGCTATTAAATAAAACATTAATTGGCTTTAAACTGAGTGCACCATAGAATTTTATCTTATAAAAAAAGATATCTTTAACTTTAATAATAAAAATTATATAATAATTACCTTAAAATTAATAAAAAAAATTTTAAATATATAAATATATTTATTAATATATTTATATATTAATTATATTATTGTATTATAAATTTATTTAGAAATAATAATATTAAAAAAAAAATAAATAAATGAGATAAAAATAAAAAAAATATAAAAAAAATTATAATATTTAAACTAATAGAAATAGAAAAGCTAATAATAATTAAATTACTAAAGTTATTAATTTCTAAAAAAATATAAATATTAAAAAAGCAGAAAAAATAATCAAATATAATAAATATTAAGGGAATTAAAGCTGAAATAAATCTTAAGAAACTAAAAAATAATAGAAAAATAAGAATGATTAATTGAAAATATAAATGAAAAATAATTAAGAAATAAAAGATTAAAAAAATAAAAGAATACTATAAATATAATTAATAAAGAAAATAAATTATAATATAATAATATAGAATATTATTAGAGAATAATAATAAAAAATAATAACAATGATGAAAAATAATAAAAATAATCTCAAAAATTATAACAATAAAAATATAATTAAAGCTCTGAACGGTTTAGATTAATCTGAAAATTTTCAGTTCAGATCAACTTTGGTTCAGTTTCAGATTGCAAAAAATAATAAAAAAGTATAATAAAAAGAATTTAATTTCAAAAAAATATAACAAATATAAAAATTCTTAAATAAACAAAAATTAATTTATAAAATAAATTCTTTTAATAAGTAGTAGGAAAACATATTAAGTAAATATAATTGTAATACTAATATTTATTTATATAATGATAAAATTCAATTATAAATTCATATCTACTATTAAATGTTTATATAAAGTAACTAAATTTTGTAAAAAAAAATTATAAATAACTTTGCTTTTTAGAATTGAATCTTTACATATATTTTAAATAGAATGACTCAGATTTAATAAATTAATAATAATATTTATTTTAATTTTTTATTTTAAATGTTTACTATTATTAATTAAAATTAAAAAATTAAATATATAATAAGTTAAGCTAAAATTAGTATTATATCTATTAATCTGCAGATTTTGAATTATTGTGTATAAAATAATCTAATTTTTATTAATCAAAAGATATGTTGATCCTAAGATTGCTTTCTAAACTCATTTTAAATTTGATAAAATGTCTAAACTATAATTTCACCAATTTTTTATTAAGGTTTTAATATAGTTTCACATTTTATAAGCTTTGATATAGTTTTATCTTTTTTAGAATTTAGCAGAATTTTTAATAAAGTTTTAATATAATTTCGCTAAAATTTATCTTTTTCTATTTAAATGACTTTAGATTTCGTCTAGTAATCTTAGTTAATCCTTATTCTAAAAATTCTGAAATACCTTAAAAACCTTGAAATATCTTTAAAAATACCTCAAAATATCTATAAGAAAATAAAAAACCTATTAGATTTGGCAAAAATCCATTGGATCCTTGAAGTAAAAAAAATAATAAAGCTATATTATTATAAGTCAAAACCTTTATTAAAAATAACTTAAAAATAACTTTTCATTTACTTATTACAAGAATTAGATACGTTTATTTATAAAAATTTATATTAGTTATAGTACTAATATCAGTTTAAATTTTTTTTAATAATAAATATGAAAAAAGAATTATTCATGAATAGATATATTTATTTGGTAAATTTTATTATAAAAGCAGTTATATTCATTAATATATTAATTCTGTATACTTTTCTTTATATTCTTTATTAAATAACTGTTTCTTTATATGTTTCACTTGTGAAAAACAATTTAAAGTTCATAAAATTTAATCTAACATACTAAAATAATTAAAAAATATAATTAATATTAGGATCTTGATGAACTACTAGCTAATATAATTGCTAAATTTAAAGAAATTTTAATGATAGAAATACACAAAAAATTAGTTTAAATTTTAGATCTATGAGAAAGAAATTAGTAATTGTATCATATCTTAAAAGCATTATTTTTCTATTTTTTTTTTTAAACATATTTATTATTATTCTAAAATAAAAAGAATTACAAGTATATCTTTTATAGTAAAAATGCTATCAAATTTTAAATAAATTTTTAAATTCTAATTAATAGAAGAAAAAATTTATTTACAAAAATAAGAAACTTATATTATATATTTGAATCCTATTATATAAACTCTAATTTATATGACTATTTAAAAGAAATAGATCCTCTTAAGCAATTAATTTGATAATAACAATCTAAAAATATAAAAAAATAAGATATCTAAAATTTTTACATGAAAAAATTTTAATAGAATAAAAAAATATGTATTAAGAGAAACTAATAAAAATATATATATAGTAGGATATATAAATCTTAACTTTTATATTTCATAATCTTTTATATCATAAAAATATTTCTTTTATTATACACTTAATAGAGTTAAAACATTTTTTAAAAAAAATAAAAATAATAGTTAGGATTTTTCTGACAAATTTCCTATATAGTAAATAAAATATAATAAATAATATTTTATTTACAAAATTCTAAAATTACTGGAACTTATAGTAAAATAAGATATTATTAAAATTATGAGTTAAAATCTATAAAAATAAGTATTAGCATTTTGACTTTTTAATTATTAAAGACCAAATAGTTTTATTTTTGTTAAATGATCAAATATTTTAGTTTCATCTAATATCATTAATAATATATTCTTTAAAATAAATTTTTAGATATATTTTAATTTATAATTTAAAATATCTTAAATAAAAAAATAAACAAAAAAAATAACTAGTTATTAATATTAATTTAAGTTAAATAAAAGAAAAAATGAATAGCTATCTTATTGTCTAGATTAGTCTTACTTTTTTGTTATATTTTTATTTTTTTATATTTTTTGATAATATATAATATATATATCATATGCTACTGCATATAGTATTCTTTAAAAATAATACCTCTATAATTAATACCTAAATACTATTCACTATTTATATTGACTTAATCACAAATAGTATCTGGATACTTTTCAAAGTTAAACTTTTTGAAAATTAATTAATACCTAGGCATAATTATAATGCATTCTTAAAATTTGTAATAGTTGATTTTTATGGAATTTATAAAATAATTCATTTTTATAACTTGTTATAATATTAACGAATTTTTTATAACAAATACCTGATCAGTCTAAATATCAAATTTAGTATGATAGATGATTACTGATTTCATTATACAAATATAATTTTACTATGATATAATTTTTTCAGAAATATTTTCATGTTTTATTTTAATATGCAATCTGTTAATTATTATACGATAGTTTTATTAATTTACTTAAATTTTTTTTTTAAAAAAAAATTTAATTTATTATTTTTTAAAATAGAATAAAAATAAAATAAAAAATAAAATAAAATAAAAGAAAAA